TAAGATAAGATAAGATAAGATAAGATAAGATAAGATAAGATAAGATAGAAATTTATTGATCCCGCAGGAAATTGTTGAATCATTCAAATTCACTCTCGGTCAGTTTATTATCTATGCACATTTTAAAAATCACACTCACATAAAATGGCACAACAAGTTTGAAAAACTGAAAGAAAAAGTATAATCACTTGTCTTCTGTTTTTTGTTACTTTTCTTTTTTTAGCCATCCTATTTGTTAAAAAAAAAAAAAAAAAAATCTGTATGCCTTTTTATAACTGTCTATTGTTGTTGCTGTTGTCCATTGTTTTTCATCTTTCTTTATTGAAATCGGGTCTCTCTTGTAAATGAGTCCTCGAGGCTCAATGGGATTTACCTGTCTAAATAAAGGTTGAATGAATGAATGAATAGAGATTAGTTTAGTTTTTGTGTTTTCACTAAGACAAGATCCACAGGAGCAGCAGCATTAAGGAACAATTTAATAATATTTCATTACATTATACATATGTTTAAAAAAGTTGTGTAAAGTGCTGCAGAGAAAACATGGCAGCAAACAAAATAAAAAATGAATCATGTGCAAACTGTGGCCTTTGAATTTTGTTTGCCACTTTATTTGTTTTCAAAGTGACTTGGTTCATCATAAATTGAGCAAAATAAAATACGAAATGAAAGAAATTAGAAAACTAAACATGACAATTCAACAAATTAAAGCAAAACGACACGATTCTGATGGTTGCAATGTTTCACCAGTAGATGTCGCCAAATTATACACATGCAACAATCTGAATAAAAGTGATGTACAAAATAAGTTTTTGTGAAGTCAAATTATAACGTTTTTAATTACACATCTTTGTTGTTATGGATTTTTTTTTTTTTGTGTGTGTGTGTGTGTTTGAGCATGTGATAATTGCCCACAACTGTTTTTTGTTTGTTTGTTTGCATTGCTTTGATTTGTTTGTTTGTTTGTTTGCTTGTTTTGGGGGAGATGTGATGGACTTCTTTTCTGTACTTTACTTTGCAATAAACTTCCTGTACCTGTTTCAGATCAGTGTTTGCTTGTAATTCAATAAAAATCCACTTGGTGGTGATCCAGGAACATCTATGATATGTCACACGCTTGTTGAGTCAAAAATAAATAAATACAATGAATTAATAAAGATGAAAAACTGATCTTAATTAGTCTCAAAGTACTGTTTACTGGGTGTTAAGTTTTAATATAGTCTGAAATCTGAGTTGCATGTAACTAAACTTTCTTAGATTTAGAAATGTAATAAACGAAGTGATGATTAAACCAGACTCAGAGTTTCCAAAAATCAGATTAGGAAAGAAATTCTACATTAAAATTCATTTAAAAAATACTGACCAAAGTTTTACTCAATGTTTGAATTTTAATTAAGATAACTGGTGAAACAATCTTCTATGAGCTAACTGAATGAGTTCATCCATCCATCCATCTATCCATCCATCATCTTTACCCGCTTCTTCCTTTTTATTTCAAAGTTTTGCAATCACTGTAGCACTTCAGACAAAATTTACTTAAACTTAACAAAAGTGGTGGCACAGAGGTTAGAGAAGGTGAGGCTGTGATCAGAAGTTTACCGGTTTGACCCTGTGGACCGACAACATCAAAAATGTGGGTGGGAAAGGTGAAGCACCCCCACCTGCCTCATCCCTATTTTGCCCCATTCTGTTCCTTTGAGCAAGGCTCCCCCTAGATGGCAGCTCTCTGCTCCACACAGAGGACTGTGGTAACTTGGTGATCTGTGGTTGTGTCAGGAAGGGCATCTCGCATAAAAACAACCAGTTAGTTCACTGTGGTGACCCCTGAAGAAAGGAGTTGCCGAAAGAAGAAGAAGAAGACAAAGAACAAGAACAAAACAAATAAGAACAAGGAGAAGAAGAAGAACTACAACAAGGAGAAAAAGAACAAGAAAAAGAAGAACAAGGACAAGCTTTTTTGATTTTTAACAAAACTTTATTTACACAATAAGTCAACGCAATGAAGAAGAACAACAAGAAGAAAAAGAAGAACAAGAGCAAAAAGAAAAATAAGATTTAGATTTTTCACAAAACTTTATTTACACAATAAGTTAACACAACGATGTCACAAAAGGTGATCAGGACAAGCTTAAAATAAAATATTTACATGAGGAGCTTGTTGTATTTTAGTTCTCTCTGATCAGAAATGGTGCATACTTTCTTAAATCCCCACAGTTTCACAAAATTTCCCAAGTGTCCAGTAAAAAGAAGAACAACAAAAACGACAAGGAGAAAAAGAAAAAGAACAAGGAGAAGAAGAAGATTTTGAACATAACTTTATTTACACAATAAGTTAACACAACAGTGATAAATAAAAAAAAAGGTGATCAGGTCAAGCTTAAAATAAAATATTTTCATGAGGAGCGTGTCATATTGTAGTTTTCCCTGACTAGAAAAGGTGCATAAAACCTTCTTAAATCCCCACAGTTTCACAAAGTTCTCCAGGTGTCCGGTGTCTTTGTGGAAAAAAAACTCCAACGCCAGTCTGGTCTTGACATTCTGCACAAGTCCATCTTTGGGTCTGTGTTGAGGACCACAGTCTTTCACAAAGTTAAGATCCAGGTGGATGTCTGGGAAAGGGTCCATTGGGTCAGGTGGGCGATTCCCCATGGTCCACAGCTACAGGAGACGCTTCTCTCCAGCTGTCAACCTCGCCTTCACCAGGTCCAAGAAGCACTGCACCAGTCTGGCAGACCGGACTTCAAGCAACAAAACCACCTCCTGGACACAGGAGAAGTCTGGTCCGGCCGTCTCCACCAACCACATCAGGGTCACTGTCCCAGATGCACATTACCATTGATAGACCCAGCACCAAGCTATTACAGACGTCCATTCTCGCTTCACAGACTAGTGTTTCCACTAAAAGAACCACTGCAGAGAATTATACATTTTTGATCTGCTTGGTTTAAAAAAAGAAAACACTTTGAAAACACTCTGATAAAACTCAGGCAACCCCTTTAGATTCAAAAGGCCAACTCTGGTTAGAAACAGAGCAGCATCCAGCCCC